AAAACTCATATCCTGGCGAAATAGCCACATGGCAGCCGAAAACTGTATACCCTAGCTTGTCATGCATTTGTTCCAAAAATGGGGACTTTTTAAAAACACCACAGAACACAGGAAAAATTGTTAAAAATTGGGACTGTCCCACCAAAAGCGGGACGTCTGGTCACCTCAGCATAGACCCAACCTATGAAGTTTCTATGGCATTAAAAGAAAGTCTCTGGTATTTCTTGAGAAATATGCCACTTCATCAAATTGCCCGACAGGGATGATGAGGAGGACACATTTGCTATCAGCATGAGTGACAAGTCACAGTTTCTTAGACTCTAATTAGAATATTAGTGATTCTTAACTTATGTTGAATAACCCCTGTGCCATTATTTTAATCACACACAGAAAATAATACCACTGTGTCATTTAATGATACAAAAGCAATCTAGCCAGCCTGACGTGGCGATGGATTTGTGTGGTTAGCAGCCTCACGTGCAACCACCACGTCACCAAAGCGCCTTCCATGGGGGTGGATTCTTAGTGCCTGCCATTCACAGGCTCCAGCCTAAGTTCCTTTGAATATTTGTGAGCATTCGTGACAGCTTGGCATACTTCCTTATGCCATAGTTAATGTTCCCCAGTCTTCTTCCTATCAGGGTAAAATTTAAAATTTAAACCAGTAGAAAAATCAATTAGCAAGACACCTTAAGCTATTTTCTTCATTAAAAAAAAAATCTGCCTTAGGACAGGGTCCCTTCTTGATGACTAGATTCTTGTTTTCCTAAGCAATCCCCAAAGTCTAATTATGAAATTGAAGTATTTAAAGAGCCTCTGACATGTCTCAGATTTAAAAGTTATTATGCAAATTTGATACAGAAGTCCACATTGTTCTTAGAAAGCCTGTCAGTTGAGGCTGCTCTTGGTGTCAGGGAGTTGGCTCTGACTCACAGGGTCCCTGTGCAGAAACAACGCCGCCCGGCCTGCAGCGCCCTCCCCATTGTGCTGCTGCGGGAGCGCAGCGTGGCAGCCGCTGGGCCAGTCCAATCCATCCAGTGTGTTCCTTTTCTGGTTTTTTGATGACTGTCTGCCAAGCATGATGTCCTTCTCCGGGACTGGTCTCTCTTGATAACAAGTCCCTTGCTTCTAAGGAGTATTGTGGATGTAGCTCCTCCCAGACAGGTTTGTTTGTTCCTGTAGTAGTCTGTGGTACTTTTCTATTTTT